AGGAATCACAGGCCTGCACAAGGGTACAGTCTAACCAAACCTGCTGGCAGCAGCTGGACAGGGGCAGCCACAGGGCCAGCCGGGTGGTGTGGTCCCCTGGGACTCTGCAGAGAGGGAGGGCACACAGTGAGGAGGAAGGAAGACAAGCATTTTGGCAGGGGAGCCCCACGTCTCCCTCCTCCCCTTTTTCCTTCTCTTTCTGCTTTCTCTTCTCATGCAGCTCAGCACTCCTTCAGTGCCAGAGCCGGCATCAGGGCTGGGACTCCACGCTCAGCAGGCAGGTCCTCAGTTCCTGTTCCTCAATGTCCCAACCAGCATTACATCTCTGGGACTCTGTCTCCAAAATGACTTACAAACTCATTCTTGGAAGGCTTCATGGGGCAGTGCTGGCCCGTATGCATGGTCTTTGCTGGAACTGCCCAGAGTTGGCCCATGGCAGAGACGGCCCACCTTTCAGCAGAGCAGGTCCCGGGCCTGTCACTCAGGCATCACCATAGTCTGGTCTCAACTTGCCTTTCTGGCCAACTCTCCCAGCCCATCCCCCTCCCTGACCGCTCGCTGGTCCCCAGCAGGCCTCTCAGACTGGTCAGTGTCCCTCCTTATTCTGTGTCTCTGGCTTAGACCACCTCCTGCCTCAGCCTGTTGGGATCCAGCTTCACCCTCCAGGGCTGAGCATAAACATCACCACCCCTGATGCCTCTGGTGAGGCCCTGCTCTGGGGACAATGCTTTACATTTGTTTGTTATGCCACGTGGACCAATTAGCTTTGCCACCAGGAGGTGAGCTCACTGAGGCCAGGCCTCTGCCTTAGTCGTCCTCTGCACCCCTCATAGCCCATAACACGGAATAGGTACTTTTTTGTGAGTGTTGGCTGAGGGCGGGAGGGAGGGAAAATTAACATTGACCCGCATATGAGTTTCCTGTGGCTGCTTTAACAAATCAGCACAAACTCGGTGGCTTAAAACAATAGAGAAATTTCTCTCACAGTCCTGGAGCCCAGAAGGCTGAAATCGGTATCACTGGGCCAAAATCAAGGTGTGGGCAGGGCTGTACTCGCTCTGGAGGCCCCAGGGAAAGACCCGTTCCTTTCCTCTGCTACCTTCTTGGGGCTCCTGGCGTTCCTTGGCTTGTGGCTGCATCATTCCAATCTGCAACTCTCTGCCCCATCTTCATATCACTTTGTGTGTGTGTGTGTGTGTGTGTGTGTGTGTGTGTGTGTGTGTGTGTGTGTGTGTGTGTGTATCAAGTCTCCCTCAAGCTCTCTCTTGTAAGGATACATGTGAATGCATTTAGGGCCCACCCAGATAATGTGGGGTAATCTTCCCATTTCAAGATCCTTGACTTAAATCACATCTACAAGGACCCCTCCCCCCACTTTTTTTGGTCATTTACGTAATGAGCCCTGGTTCTAGGGTTTAGAATGTGGATATACCACAACCTGTGTCAGGGTTTCAACTTCATAGTTGTTCAGATTTCTGATTCATAACCCCTGGGGCTTCTGGATCTGGGAGGTAGGTATTCATTCAATTGTGACCACAGGCGATACCATTTCTAGACCCACAAGGGCATGTTGGCAGCGTTTGGAGAAACAAGCTGAGCAAGGTTTTAGGCAAATCGTTTATCCTGTTTTTGTATCACTGAGGCTGTCACACAGCGATGGTCTGTTTCGTTATATGGAACAGTCCTCCCTCCTCGCCTGGCAGTGAATCCCGAGGGAAACTGAAATCTTCTGAGCTGTTTTTCCTACCATAGGTTTTGGGAAACATTTAACTGCCTCCGCTTCCATTTATAAAGGAGGCTTCCATGGATAAGGTCTGCTTTTAGGACAAGTTGAGGAGGGATCATGTCCAGGGAACACTTAGGCCTGGAACTTTGGGGCCTGGAAAAATAGTACATTTTTCCGTGCTGCCAGCTTGGTGGCTTGAACTCTTGTTTACTTCGAATTTGACTCTGCATCAGGGGTTGTCTGCCCTTTCTCGTTCCAGGGTATTTTCACACCCGCAAAACAGGGCTACTTGGTTTTCTCTAGCGTTGGTAGATTCAGTTCCTGTGGCTCTGCCAACCCCACGTAACCCTTTGCTTCGCCGATTAAAGCAAGTGCGGCACGTCACGTCAGCTCAGAGTGGAGACAGTTTTCAGGTTTTATCTTCATCAAATGCCAAAAGTTTTGCACCAAAGATTCCATAGTGTCTTGAACAGTATAACTAGTTGATTCCCGCCTGAAGATATTTGCACAACCTAACGGATATTGACATGGCCTTTGAAACTCTTAAAAATTCTAGGCTGGGGGAAAGAAAGGGGCGTTCACTGCCCTTTGGCTTCAGTGAGTCTAAGAAGAAAAGTAACCAACTGTCTTTGAGATGAACCTGGGCGCCCCCATGTATCCTTTACTGGACTCCTCTCTGGGGGCTTCAGGCCAGAGTGCCAGGAAATCCTGTCGTGTTTGCCTTCCCTGGGCTGCGGCAGACAAGCAGCTGTTTGATGGGAGGCCCTAGAAGGAGGCTGGCAGGCTCCTCTGCCCTGGGCGCCCTACTTGCCATGGATTGGTGTACATCACTTCTAGATGCCATTCAGTTAAATTGCTCAATCAACTGATGGCTTTCTTGAAGAAGTGGGAGGTGAGGGTGAGGGTGGAGCAGACCCCTGAGGCCAGTGAGGCCGTCTGGGCAGGCACAGGGCCCCGGATTCCAGCGGGAGGAATGACGGCACCTGCTCCCCTCACACGGGCAGTTTCCTCTGCTTAGCGCGCTCAGCCCCCTCTGCTGCTGCCGCTGCCGACTGGTCCAGCCTGCCTGGCTCCCTCTCACCCCAGCGGTTTCACCTCCTCAGAGGGGCCTTCCCCATCACCAAATATGTGTTAGTTTCCTCTTGCTTCTGTGATGAGTTACCACAAACTAGTGACTTAAAACAATGATAATTTCTCATCTTACGGTTCTGGAGGTCGGGAATCCAAAATGGGTCTCCCTGGGCTGAAGTCCAGGTGTCCTTCCAGAGGCCCCCGCGGAGAATTGCGTCCTTGCCTTTCCCAGCCTGTAGATACTCTGCATCCCTTGCTTTGGGGCCCCACGTTGGGCTGAGTCTTGATTGTGCCTCCATATTCCAGGTTTGCTCTCTCCTGGCCCCCTCTTCCCGTTAGAAAGACCCTTGTTGTTTTATTGGACTCACCTGCTTAATCC